AATGTTTGAACTGGACTACTGTTTAGTTTATTTGGAGTGTTTCTTAAACACAATAAGCTGTAACAAAAAAAAATCATTACTAGTAACAGATTTATAGAACAGTTTTTTTTTTTGCTATTTTTACGGCTGATTCTGCTTTACCGTTCTCTTCAGGATGGTGTGGAGATGAAGTGACATGTTTCAAATTCCACTTTTTTGCAAACATAAAGAACTCATGGTTGACAAAATTAGTGCCACGTCTGTTATTATTTGTTCAGGTACTCCATGTCTTGCGAAGTTCTTTTTACATAATTGTATGACAGATTTTGCCGATAGCTTGGTTTTTTAGTATAAGATTATTATATACAGTCAATTCTTCTTTGTAGCTGAAATAGTATTTCAATGCATCTGGGACATCTCTTATGAATTGTGGCCTTCCCTTCAAGATAAATTCTTTTAATTGAATATATTTTGTGCCTGACTTTGATACTTGTACTATTTCTTCTAAACAACTATCTGATATTTGTAAGTTCTGGATTGGATTAATATTTTTATATTGATATCTTTATTTATGTCTTCACAGTCTATATAGAATCTCGACATATATATCTGCCGTAATATTATCCTTACCAGATATAAACTGCAGCTCTATAGAATAACGTTGCAGGAGTAATAACATTGACTGTAACCTTTTTAGTGCATGCAAAAGAGATTTTTTGAAAATATTAAGTAGTGGTTTGTGATCTGTTTTGATTATATTTTTGACATTACCTATTGTCAGTTGATCGAACCTGGTGCAAGCAAATAGAATGGCCAATAACTCCTTCTCTATCTGTGCATATTTCCTTTCAGCTTTAGAGAGTCCTGAAGGCGTATGCTATTGTATGGTCGTCTTGATACACTGCTACACCCAATGCTGCTTCACTGGAATCGCATTCAATTACAAGGGGTTTATTTTTATTAAAATATTTTAAGGTATTAAGGTTTCCTATACATGACTTAATTTTGTCAAATTCCTTATTAGCAGAACTGTCCCACTTCCATTCGGATTTATCCTGAGCTAGATAACGAAGATGTGCAGATTTAAAACTGAGATTTGGTATAAACCTGCTTAAGTAAGTTACAGTACCTAGAAACATTTGTTACTCTTAGATGGATCGGTTTGTAAATCTTCTGTAGATAAAATGTGACCATTAATTTTAACATATTTTTAAAGCAGATTCATTTTATTTTTATTCAATTTACAATTATGTTTTAGAAGTCGCTGCATAAGAAGTTCAAGGTATTTATTATGATCAATAGTAGCATCATCTATTGTGTCTCCAACCCCATAGATTAATATACCATCGGCTAGCAACTCAACACCAGGTAAATCTTGTATGATTTCAGTCATTTTCATTTGAAAATAGTCCGGAGCTGAAGAGATACCGAAAGGTACAACATTCCAGCGATATTTCCCTGACAGTCAGTAAGTTTTATAGGCCAGAAGCCTTTTTTACATCTACAGTGGAAAATATCTTCGCCTTTCCAAGCTCTGGCAATATTTCGTCTAATGTGGTAAACTGGTAATGAGGCCTCTTGATTACTTTGTTAAGAGGGATAGGATCCAAACATATTCTAAAGTTGTCTTTCTTTTTAACAATTTGAATATTACTCACCCAATCTGTATGGTTTTCTTCCTTCTGTATAATCCCTTCCAGCTCATGTCGTTTTAATTCTTCTTCTAAAGGCTTGCGTAAATTCACTGGGATTCGTCTTGCTTTTTGAATTACAGATTTTATTGTGTTGTCCACTTCCAGATCAATTTCTCCTTCAAATACACCTTGACCATGGAAAACTGTTTCATACTTATTTATAATATCATTTATGTTGCTTACACGATACTTAATTTCTTTACAAAATTTTACTAGCCTCATTTTTGTACAAGCTTTGCATGACAGTAAAGGAATATGTGGAACGTCAACAATTTGAAAAGTAATTTTATGATTTTATTTTTATTTTTTAAGCATTTAACTGCTAGATGTTTAAATCTAAAGAAAAGTTTACTAGAAAAAAAAAATCCACGCGGACCAGGCAGCGGACGGGACTCGAACCCGCATCCTTCGCCCGGATAGCGAAGGATGCGGGTTCGAGTCCCGTCCGCTGCCTGGTCCGCGTGGATTTTTTTTTTCTAGTAAACTTTTCTTTAGAAGTAATTTTATATTTTCCTGTTATTTTTGAAATATTTGTTTTAATAAACAGATCAATTTCACCCTGTGTGTTTATTTTATGACCTCCAAAGCCAAACAAAGTCTTATTCGAGGATCTCATCTTCTGTGAAACATATGTCAAATCAAACATTTTTACTAAGTTTTTATAACCTATTAGACAATTATGAGCTGTCGTATCAAGAAGGCAATTTATCTTACACCAATTTCTTCCCTTTTTGTATTCTACCAAACACTCAGCAAAATTTTTGTGACTATTAGAAATTTTAGTCACCACGGTATTGACTTCTGAATAAGAGTCTGAATCGGTTTCTGACTGTACTTGGTGGATTTGTTCTGTTTCATGTACCTCCTTAATTAAATTGTCATTCTTCTTGCACACCTTCTCTAGATGATTCTTGCCTTTACACACACTACAAGTTTTCCCCCAAGCGGTATACACACCTTTTTAAATTCATGTTCTTGGCCACAAAATATACACTTTTTTTTCTTTATTATTGACTTTTCAATTTTGTTTATTGCATGTGGTGAGTCTGAATTTGTCAGAATTTTCAATTGTTTATCAGTAGCTTCTGCTATTCTGCATATATTAACAGTTTCTTGTAAAGTTAATTAATTTTTTTTTAATAGTTCTTTTTTAAGATTTCTGTTTTTAATCCCGAACACAATCTTGAAATCTCATCTCTTAAGTCTTTATAGTTGCATTCATCAATTAATTTATTAAGGTCACTATAATATATGTCAAATGGTTAATTCTGCTGATCTCTAGATTGAAATATAAATCTGTTGTATATTACAATCTCACAAGGAACCATTTTGGCACCTATATCTGCCAGAATTTCAGTGCATTTTTTTTTTCATATTGGTGTGATCGGAGAATATTGTACTTCTTTAAGGCTTCTTGTCCAATCGCAGCAAATAAAATACTTACTTTTCGGGACTCTTGATCTATTGACCATGTGTCCATTTGTGATGCCTTACAATAATTACTCCATGATGACTCGAATAACTTGAAGGCTTCTTCCGGATCAATATTTGTATTTAGTTGTGTTGGCCATGATACATTTATATTATGCCCTGTATTGTTACTCACATTTTAACCTTGCAGTGCAACCAACTGCCTCTGCATTTCGGCGAGTAAATTGTACATCAGCAAACAAGCTGCTGTACAATTTCTTGTAACGTACTCATTTTTATTTTGTTTCACGCTGCAATATTTTAATGATTTAACCAAAATTGTGCTAAAACTATGAACATTTTTCTGTGATATCAGTAAAAGTACAGAGTAGCTAATGACAGCGCTTTTAGCGCGAACCATTTTCTAAAGTAAGACAAAGTAATTTGCATTCATACCGCCAACAATAGTAGAAACAGACAAGAGAATAAGCAATCAAAGTTATTTTAAAACTAAAATTATTTTTCACCATACCATGGTTATTATTTTAAGGAGTAAACTTTTTTACTATATATAATGTGACCAGGAAAGTTGTTTGCTCTTGGTTGTTAGAATTTTTTAAAGAATATCTTACCGATAAGTTATTTATGGCACAGCGATGAACAGTAAGTTTGTCCTCCAGAGATGCAGGTACTAATAAGTATCCGGGCGGCTAAACTTCTGGGTCAAACATGCAATTTTTATAGTGGAATTTCGATAGCTCGAATGTCAAGGGAAATGCAAAAAAATTCGAGTTAACGAGTTTTCGACTTAACAAGAACTTCGAGATACATATGACTTAACTGCTGAAATTTCGACTTACAAAGGCGCGATTTCTAAGTATATTTATCGAATTGTAGAGTCGAATTTGAATAACAATTGAACTTACGTTTTATGTATATTTTTTACATATTAAAACAAATTACATATTAGTGAAGTAAACTGCACACTAAAAAAGTCCGTTACCTTCTTTTGATTTAAACAATTTGCAGATTTTTTTCAATTATTTTTTCAAGCTCAAACAATGAACCGAATACATGATCCTCGATATCATCACATCTTTCAACATAAGTTCGAATTATGTTGTGAGCTGTACAGTTGTCAATGAAAACTAATATTTTTCGTTTCTCCTTAATCATTTTCTTGTCAAATAATACTGCCAAAATAATACTGACGGACAAGCTCCGCTAAGAAGTAATCGTATCCTGTGTCGACAAGAAACAAACAACGTTCACAGCTGTGTTACTTAGAAAGTTTCATGAATGTATTCATTCATTGCACGTGTATAAGACAAAAACAATAGATTAGAAGCCCCGCAGCCGAACTTTCATTTTGGATTTTATTGCTATTATTTCGTGGAATTCCCCGAATTGGAATTCCAAGTAAGACGTCATTATATTTTACTAACTACGACTTACGGAGTCTCCTTTTTGAAATTCGAGTTATAGAGTATAAATATGTATTATCAATACTTCGTAGGGAAACAACATTTTGTTCGAGTTACAAAGTCTAAATTCGAGAAACCGCGTATTTAGGGGTTCAGCGGAAGAGAATGGCAATTTTTTCGTCATACTGAGGATTTCGACTTTTAAATTCGATTCCACTGTATTAAACCTTGGGTAAATACCATTATTTTGACAAACTTAACAAAATTTGTTGATAAGCAAAAACTAATCAACTTACTAAATTTTTAAAACTTCGTATGAAATCGCTTCTATCTGCTTTGATTTTAGATAAAGTAAACTGATATATAGTAGATACAGAGTTATTTCTCTATTTTTACTTTATAAACTTATTTTTCGTTCAAGAAGACCACAACTTTTATAAAAAAATCACGTGAACGAACGAATAATGATTGAGTGTGTTTTTATTCATTTTAGATTCTGAAGACAACATTCTCTTTTTTCACCTTTCTACGATCAATAGTTTAAAATGGATTTTTCATCGAACTTACTCTTGGAAAAGACAATCACGCTGCGTCTTTTTATTCAAGCACATTTTTACAAGTTACGGCACGAATAGAGTATCAATGTTTGGATTTTTTTTAAAATGAATTTAGAATTGTGTAAGCTTACTTTTCAATAAATTAGTGAAGTTCACTGTTTTTGAAGTCTTATTACCCTTTGTCGACGCTTGTGTCTCCAATTTGCACAACGACGAAAAACGAAACGTAACGGGTGAAAGAAGCCACGAAGAAGACCCGCGCATTCGAATTTTATACGGCGCACAATACACATACAATTTTTCTATTTTATTCAACTTAATGTAATTTATACGAAATTAAACGTCTTATCAAGTATACGAGTACTTCATTAGATAGGAGACCTGACTGACCCAAACATTTTGGTCTTCGAGCCGAATTAGACGACTGCAACTTCGAAGAAAGCGAGGATTTTGAAGATATTACCTCCAGTAACGGTTGGTTGATCATCCTATCTAATTTCCTAATCCTTATTCAAATTGTGTTAAAATCGTGTTTATCTAAAAGTTATTATTCGCGAGTTTAGGATTAATTATGTACTAATACAGTTATATTTGCACGTAAGTACCTTTACTGTTCTTATTGATTGCCAAAATGACCGACAGTGCTAACGTAAATTTAACTATTCCTCCGCTTTCACCATCTGAAAGAAAGGCTGTAGACGTTATTACTAGTCTCAGAAAGCAAAGAGGAATTTTGAAGAGTAAATTAACTCAATTTAAGAAATATGTTGACTCCTTCTTAGGCGCTAATTTGAGTAAAATTCAGTTAGCTGAGATGAAGTTACGTATTCAAGCGGGTGACATTTTCCAAAAAAATAATTCGGTCCAAAGTGATATTGAGCTCCATTCAGCAGATAGCGAAATCGATGGCGACAATGAGTACGTTGAAATCGTAGAATCTATTTATATCAGTTGTATGGCTAACGCGAACTGCTTGATGGATAGTTCTATCACTATGAACGAGCCTAACAGTAGCCAAAATTTAAACTGTTTGGCGTTTTTAAACATAAAATTGTCCGAAATCAAGTTGCCTTTATTCGATGGGTCATACGATCATTGGTTAGAATTCAAAAATTCGTACGTTGCAAAATTAGTTATTAGCTCATTAGAATTTACTGCAGCTAACTATATTCACGCGTGGGAACTATTACAGAACAGGTTCCACAATACCAGACTTTTAATTAATAACCACGTAAAAGCCCTATTTAATGTTACTCCTATCAAACAAGAGTCAACTACTCACCTTAGAAAATTAATAGACACTATTTTACGCAACCTGCGTGCACTCAAATTAGACGAACCCACTGAGTCATACGTTAATTATATATTTAATTGTAACCAAATTAGATTCCACTACAGAGCGTGAATGGGAAACATATAAAGGTTCATTATCTTTAGAGGATAATTTTCTAAAAATAAAATTGGAAGACATTCTATCATTTCTCAAGAACCGCGCAGATATGTTAGAAATGATAACTAGTTCACATAATAAAACTAAAGATACCTCACTAATTTATAACACCAAATCATCCTACTCGAATAAAAATAATTCACAAATTCAAAGCTATGTTTCCAGAAAAACACAAAGAACAAATCTTCCAATTTTATTAAGAACGTTAGAAGTTGCATATTTTGTAATCACAATCACGCACTGTACAATTCTTTTGGTTTTCTAAACTTGTTTGTCAAAGAAAGATTAAAATTCGTAAGCGAAAATAAATTGTGCAGCAACTGTTTACGATCGGGGCACGAACCGAGTGAATGTCTCTTCGGTTCAAGTAAACAGTGCTCACAAAACCATAATACCCACTTTGCTGCATTTAGACGTCAAGCAATATGACATAGGGCATACGAACGGCGAACCCACAACCTCTGCAGGGCGCAGTACCAAGCATCCGCGATCTACGACAGCGTTACACTTAATGCCCGCTTGGCCCGCAGCCGCAGGCGCATTGTCTTCCATGTGTACATTAGCGCGAGACTGGGACTGTGCGAGCGAGATGCAGGTTCTATTATGTACAGCGCTGGTCGAGGTAGCCAATATCCATAATAATTTTCATGTGGCTCGCGCTTTACTTGACAACGGAAGCCAACATTGTTTTATTACAGATAAATTACGTAAACGTCTTAATGTGTCTTTAATACAGTCCACTGTTCAGATTTCGGGTGTAGGTCAATCTATTACCCAGTCGAATCATTTATGTAATATTTTAATGCGTTCTCGAGTAAACGATTATAATACGAAGCTTCAATGTTTTGTTTTGCCGCGTATCACAAACAGGTTACTGTTAACTAACATTGATGCTAACATAATTCGTATACCTAGCAATATACAACTGGCGGATCCTACTTACGGTGTTCCTTCTGACATTGATTTGTTAATAGGTGCTGATGCATTCTGGGGTCTTTCTTATTAATACGGATAAAATTATACGATTGCCCAGCGGTACCTACTTAAACAATTCAAAGTTAGGGTGGCTATTATCTGGACCGATTTACACGAAGAACTTGCGCATTAATCAGGTTCAGTGTAACTTCGTACAGAATATTGATACGGATTTGAGAATGTTTTGGGAGATGGAAAACATACCAAATTTAAATAAGCCTATTCTCACAAACGACGAGCGCATCTGTGAGAATTTATTTATTAATTCAACTAAACGAGAAATAAGCGGTAGGTTTTCAGTACGTATACCTCTCAAGGAGTCACCGAATGTACTCGGAGACTCGTATACATTAACCAAAAATAGGTTTTTATCACTTGAACGAAAGTTAGAACGTTCCTCCGAATATAAACGTAGTTATTGCAATTTTATGCAAGAATATTTAAGTTTGGGGCACATGACGAAGATAGACGCGCCCAGACAGCCTCATTTCTATTTACCTCACCACGGCGTACTGCGTGAGAGTAGTACCACCACTAAGTTAAGGGTGGTATTTGATGCCAGTGCCATTACAAGTACGAATAAGTCGCTTAACGACATACAATTACCAGACCTGGCATTACAAAACGATATTTTTTCTATTCTGCTGCGTTTTCGTCAGTATAAATACGTCGCTTGCGCTGACGTTGAGAAAATGTTTAGGCAGTTTCTTATTCAACCTGATCAAAGATCCTTGCAACTCATATTATGGCGTAAAAATCCTACTGAACCCTTAGAAGCGTACCAATTAAACACTGTCACGTATGGGACAGCGTCAGCCCCTTATCTAAGTATGAGGTGTATATGACAGCTAGCCGATGAGTGTAGGGATAGCAATATAGCCAGGGTTATTAAGGAAGATTTCTTTGTTGATGACCTGATAAGTGGCCATGATGACTTTGACACTTTAACAAAGACCTGCGAGCAAGTTTCACAGGTTTTGTTGAGTGGTGGGTTTCCATTACGAAAATGGACGTTTAACTCGTCTGTTTCTGATGAAACAAAAGAATACTTCACATGCGAGTATAACCAAAACAAAACTTTAGGTTTGGGTTGGCTAAATTATGAAGATCAGTGGTATTTTACTACCAAAATTGATTATTGCGATATTAAATTGACTAAACGTATTATGCTTTCGGTTATATCGCAAATATACGATCCGTTACGTCTAATATCGCCTGCAGTTATTATTTCAAAATTACTTTCCCCCTTCCCTCTGGACAGCGAAAGCTTTTAGACGTGTGACCGTGTTAATTTTTGTTAAAAATATCAAAAATCTTTAAAAATAAAGCAAAATAATTAAGTGATTCTACCAGGAACTCAGCGCATCTAAGAAGTTTCCCGCCGCGCCGTGAGTAGGTACTGCGACTATCTCCAACTCACTTACACGCATAATCCGAGCGCTATCGTTCGACTATTGGGATCTGACAAAATTCGTGAGACACCTGGTGTTCAATTTTGGAACTAATACCGGGGTGCATCGCTCATCAAAACACATAAGTTATCATTAGTGTCATTAGTACTTTTGAGAAATTAAACAAAAAATGACGGAAGAATTAGGAATATTTAACCCTCGCAAGATTTCTAAAAAAAGAATAAAGTGTTGTGTGTATGGATGTGGAAGCAGTTTTCAAAAAAACCGTGAATTAACGTTTCATAAGTTTCCTAAAAAAAATGCGCGTTGTGTTTACATCAAAAATTATTTTGGTCAAATGGAAAAAGTGGACCAATTCACAGCATGGAAGAACGCTTTGAAGATTGACTGTAAAATAAATCCTCACATGAAAGTGTGTTCATTGCATTTTCTGAAAGACGACTATATATTACCAGGTGAGTCAAATTCGTTTTTTGAGGTTAAGCATGTGTGAAGTAGCATTTTACAAGATCTCATTATTATTCCACTAAGAAAAGAATGGGACGGCAACAACATTAAAATGAAAGAGTTTCCTTGGTTTAGTTACCACAATTCAATAAATGTTTGTGTATACCACAATTCAATAAATGTTTCGCAGCTACCAGTCGTTCACCCTCTCGAAAATTGCGATTACTGGGCGTTGAACCGGACCATTCACAAATATCATTAATTGTTAAGACTATCATTATCTACCACTAATATTGATATTTAACTATTTTACGGTATTTCATCACGGTTTGACTAGGCAAATGCACCCCCGTCGGCGCCATATTGAATAGGCCACGCCTCCATGTCAGATCCCAATCCTCACACCTCTGAGCCCGAGCTGCATTGAACATACCAACTAACGTTTGCACTCACACATAACAAAACTGTGAAATGATACGATCACCGAAGGACCGGGCTCGTTGTGACTCGGAACCTGACATTGCAGCGGCTGCCGCGCGAGAATCAACACCACCGCGTTCGTTTATTACTGCGCGCTCAAAACGACGTTTTGATGACGTATTGGTGGAAGAACTTAGCGCATTTAAAACGGAAATAAAAGCTTTGTTTACGACCTACACATCAGAACAGACAGCTAAACTGATTTCTATAGAGAGGTCCCTATCGGAAATACAGAAAGCAAATGTGGATATAGAAAGGGCTGTTGATTTTCTCTCCCAACAGTACGATATGGTTTTAAAAAACATTAAATTGCTCGACGAGGAATGCAAGTCTAATCGCTTACTCATTTCTACCCTCGAAGAAAAAATAGAATTGTTGGAGCGTCAATTGCGTGTAAATAAGGTCGAAATTCGCAATCTACCGGGATCTGAGACAGAAA